CCGAACTTGCAGGCTGACCCTTACCTTACAAGGAACCAGGTGTTTTTCCACCCAGCAAGGGGTGAGTAAAATGTTTCCAAGAGGTCATGGTGGGGGCTGTGATGGTCAGGGGCTGGCATCTGGGAAAAGCTACAGAGACAGCAGGCGTGTGTTCTCTCCAGCACAGGGTGCGCCCACAACCCCTCTGCAGGGGCTCAGCCTGACGCCGGAACTTAGGAACACCAAGCCCAAGGCAACCTGCAGCCTTGGCTTGAAGTGGGGTAAGTTTTGTGGCAGACACTGCTGTTCCCAAGAGACAAGGGGATTCCCAGAGCACGGCACTGAGGCCTGGCTGGTCTAGTGTCCACAGCTGAGAAAAGCAGCTGCACCGTGGGGGGGCAACCCTCCCCAACAACGTCTCCTCCCTGGAGAGGAGACATCCCTGTGCCGGGCCCTGGGATGCCAGGGCCACCAGAGCCATCAGGGCCCCACAAATGCAGGGTGGCACTACAGAGGATGAGTCTGCCTTTAAACCTCAAGCCAGAGCGTGGGCATTCAAATGAGCGTCGCTGTGCGAGGCAGACCCCTTGGGAATGTGCCTGCCTGTTTCAAACATGCTCTGGTATTTCCAGAACTCCTCTTTGGGAACTGCCTTTGGGGCCGTTGTGAGCCCACCTCAGCTGTCCTCCTAACCCGTCACCCCACTTTTCACCAGAAGTGGTGGTATCCCACGTGGTCACCCACCTGGCCCTCCAGACCTGGCCTAGGGTAAGTTTGGGCTGTTTGCACATATTGAGTCCCTTTCAAGGAAGGGACACAGCCCACTGAAGGGATTCCCGAGAACGTGCTGAGGCTGGGAAGCTGGCTTCCAAAAAGTGAATCTAAAGGGGTTTGCAGCCACCTGGAGGGGTCAGCATTGGGTTGGCTGTGTAAGTGCTGGGATTGCCGGGAAGCTGTTAGAAGTGAAGCTGGTGGAATTCCCTGCCATTTCCGGGTGACTGGGAAGAGAGAAGGCTGCTGCCTAGTGGGCCAGCTCCTGGGTTGCTGAAGGTGCCGGGGAGTGAGACGGGGGTGTCATGCCCCGGCTTTCTCACAGCGAGGGCTCAAGGCTTATCAGGGCTCAAGTCCTGAGCCACAAGGCCGAGCGCCGGTTCAGCGTGGACCTTGGGCTTGGTGTTCCTAAGTTCCAGCCTGTGACCTTGGCCTACTTGCCTTCTGTAGCCCTCGGCATTTTTGTAGGTGACAAGGGATGGATTAATTCACCTCTGCCAGCTTCTCCAGGCACAGTGAGGGGGAGCATCTGTTCCTGCTCACGGAGGAACTTTGGGTATTTCTCATGGTCGTCACTGAGGAAAGGCCTAGCGTAAGTTGTAAGCAGCAGGCTCTGGGCTGAGCATTTCACACATGTGATCTCCTCGCCACAAGCCTGTGAGCTAGCACTAGTACTGTCTCCATGATGCAGAGAAGGAGAGACGGAGTGACTTGTTCAAGCCGAGAGGCAAAGAAGGGGCCGCCACGAATCTGACCCAGAACCGGATGTGAACTTGGCTGCAGTGGCCATCTGCTCCTACCACCGCCCTCTTTTATCCTCAGGCCCACCCGAGACACTCTGGGGAAGGGCCTATCCTAGAATCACAGCCCCAAGACAGAGGTGAGCCCCCTGAGTGCTACAAAACTTAGGCAAGTACCCGAATACCATCCCCATCTTGTCTGAGTGGCCTCCAGAGGACCCTGTCACCTCCAGGGCTGGGCCCTGACGCCCTGAGACCTGCAGCAGGGTTTCTTGACCTCTTCGTAACCCCCTTTGGGAACTGTCGTCCCACACACATTCTGACAGGTGACAGGCCTCACCCAACCCCTTGGCTGAGAATTACTGTGAACAGGAGACAGTCTTTCACTGGACTATTCTCATTGGCCAGAAGGATTTTTCTCAAACTTTACTTTCAGAAGTTTGTTTAAAAAAAAAAATTTTTTTTTTTTAGAGACAGAGTCTCGCTCAGTCGCCCAGGCTGAAATGCAGTAGCGCGATCAGAGCTTACTGCAGCCTCGAACTGCTGGCCTCAACCCGCCCTCCCACCTCAGTTGCTTGAGTAGTTAGGACTAGAGGAACACACCACCGTGCCCAGCTGGGAAATCATACTATTCCTTTATTCAAACAGTATCTGTTATGGACCTACTCTACTCCAGGCTCTGGGGACCATGGTAAACGAGAGGAAATCCTCACGCCTGTGCGGTTGTTTGCGTCTTCCAAACAGATGGTGCTCTAGGCCAACCTTCTGCAGCCAGAGAGATGGTAATGCAAGATCTGTGGGGCTCCTGACGGGGTCTGACCTTCCCCTTGGCCCAAATTTCAGCCCCTCTGGTATTCCCAACAGGAGGCTGCCCGCCCTCTGCTAGAACTCATTCAGCGATGAAAAGTTCCCCCTGCAGCCCCTGCCTTCTGTGCCCCCTGTCCCCTCGCTGATCCTTATGTGGAGCTGAACTCTGTCTCACCTCAGCCTCCACTGGGGTCCGAGTCTGCCATCTGCTCCTCTTCACGTGACTCGAGAGTCAGGAGAGGCGGCACCCCAGCACCCTATCCTGGCCCCCAAAATACACGGAGGAAGGACATTTCATCTGCTTTTCTGCTCAGCTGTCACCTGCAGGGGAGGAGGGTGCTAGACGCAGGGCCCTCATGTGGATGCCCACAAGCTTCAGGCAACCTGCCCAGGGTCACTATGCTGAAGTGCGGAGAGGCCCTGGGAGGATGAGCAGGACCCTGAAGCTCTGCTGTCCCACTTGAGGGACCCAGAGAGATGCAGCATGGGCCAGGGCAGAGAGCATGACATGTAACCTGTCCAAATGTTTGGGCTGCCTGCCTTTGTCACCATTCCCATACCACTGGCCCCAGTGAATCCCCAGAGGAGAGAGAATGGGCTGCTGTTTAAAAGAATACAATAATACAGCTCGTTCAGCCGCTTGTGTCAACACTCCAGCTGAATGAGCGGCTGAAGAGCAGGCCGGCCAGCCAAGGAAGGTCAATATTGACTCAGGCCCTCCTCCTGGGCCCAGCTTCAGCCTGCACAGACAGTGCTGCGGTCCAGCAGCAGCTCAGGCCACACCAGCCCTCTGACCTCTGTTTACTGTACCTCGAATCCCAACCCTTGCCTATCCCCTCCTGCTGCACAGCACTGGGCTTTCCTGGGCGTGCGGTTATTTCTAAGGCAAGACCTGAAGAATGGCTTCCTGGGAGGGCTGCAAGCCAGGAACCTTCTCACTACCCCAGATTCTCAACAGCCTCTGCACACAAAGGTCTGAGTCCTCAGCATAGGGTCCTCAATGCCTAGGTAGAAGGAACTTCTGGCATCCCTAATCACAAGATTGCCTTTTTTTCCTATAGCCCTTAACTTTCCAGACCTCTACTTCACCTCCTTATACTCACAACACCACTGTGAGTTGGGCTGAACCTGCTGGGCCCATTTTAAAGAAAGCAGGGAGCTAGAGACAGGAGGAGGAGGTAAGAAAAGAAAGGTATGCTTATAAAGTGCCCACGAGGAGAGACTGTGCTAGGTGCTTTTTATTAGTGCATTTAATGGCTAATTGTAGCTACTGCAAGCTCTGTTTTACAGATGAAGAAACTGAGCCTCACAGAGAAGTAACTGTTCAAGACATTAAGTGTGGAGCTGGGATTCAAAGTCAGATCTCTCCGACTCCAAACTCCAGGCTCATCCACAATGCCCAGTGCCCAGAGAAGTCAAATGACCTGCCCTGGATCACACAGGTATGCAGAGCAGAGATGGTACTGGAAGCTCAAGCCAGAGGCTCCCTTTGTGACAGGCAACAGTTGAGGTTCCAGGGTCACCCAGGAACACATGAACATGTGTGACATGCAGGGGATGCTGCTGTTTCTGATGCCCAAGCCAGATCCTCTTCCAGAAATGGCCCCTTTCCTCGGTCACCACAAGGTCCAGAGACCCTGAATTAGGGTCTCTCACTACTCGCCCTCCAAGGACCCCACCTTTACTTTATTCCTATTGCTTTGCTCTAATACCCTCTGACAATAGCTTGCCGAACAGCCAGACTGCCCTCAAAGCTCTCCAGGATGGGAGAACTCGGAGTGATTTAGCCCTTCCCAACATAGCAGCCGGAGGCTGATGAGGCAGTTACTCCCCACAACCGCCTTATGAGGAAGGCATTCGCATTCCCATTTTACAGATGAGGCCATTTATAAGTTCGTAGAGAAGTGAAGCAACTTGTCTATCGAGTCAAAGGCAAAGTCTGGATGGATTCAAACCCCACTCCCTGTGGTTCCAAATGTGTCTTTGGCTACTGTCCTATATACCATGTAGAATTCATGGCATTGCAGGCTGACTCTTAACCTTGCATGGAATCAGGCGTTTTTTTACCCAGTGTGGCAACCTATGCCACACCAGCCACGAAAAATGAGCATGGATACAGACCTGAGCCCCTCTGCCCCCTTCACCCAGAAAAACGAGTCAGAAAAGCCCCCGCTCCCCCCAAACAAAAACAAAAACAAAAACACCAGAATGGGGCAAGATACAGAAAATGCAACCCTGGGAGCTCTTCATGGCTTAGCCTCCAGTGCTCCTAGCAGCGCCTGCACTCCAGATCGGATGCCGCCTGAGCAGGTCTGGAGACCTGGGGAATGAGCAGTGGGCTGGGATGTGTGGAGCCGCAGCTTCACCTGTGACTCCTGCAGGAGTCTCCCGCGGCTGCCTCCCACCCTGCCCTGCACAGCCACTGGGCCTGCCACCACCCTTCCTGTTTGGGAACCTCTTCCCCAGCATGAATTCCCTGCACTCTGCCGCGGTGACACCCTCACCCAGGACTGGCATCAGACCTGATGACAATCAGACCTGAAGATGGGCCCGGGGGCAGGGCGGGCCATTTGAGGCCTTGACGTCTACCAGTCTACCGTTGGGCCATGGGGCAAAGTGGTGGAAGTGACTTAACATGCACCCACTAAGGATCGAGAGACGGCACTTGGAAGGGACCACCTCCGCTGCCTAGCAGTAAGAGGAAGGAGCCAGCCCAGGAGGGCCACCTGCCTTCCCACCGTCCCTCCCTGCCTGCTCTTCAAAATGGGTGCAGAAGGCTCTAGGGCCGGGGGCCGCTCGCTCACTCACCTTCCGGCGCCTTCCGCCTGTTCCTCGAGACTCCTCACCCGCTCTGGACCGCTCTCTTAGGCGCTGAGGCAAGGGAAGACCTGGGACCTTCCTGGGCCAGTCCTCCGCAGGCCTGCGCGGATACAGATCAGAAATGCATTATGGCCAATGTAGCAAGTGTTCCCGCGGGTGTTGCGACTGGCTGGCGTCCAGGCGTTGGGAACCGCCCCGCGCCCGCCTCCCGACTGAACTCCTGGCTCAGGTGCAAGAGGCGGCAGCCTCCTTGCGGGGCTCACGGGGAGAAGGGGACGTTGGGCGCAGCACCGCTTCCGGGGCGGCCCCTCTCCCGCCGCACTCCGACCCGGCGCGGCCACCCGGGTCGCAGGCCCCACTGCTGCGCCCTCTCGGGGACGCGAATGCCCCGCGCCGGGCGGGCGCCCGCGGAGGGAGGTCCCGCTCCAGGGGCGCGGAGCTCCAGATGCTTACGCCCAAGGCCCCTCGCCTGGCGCCGGCTGGTCCCGAACTTCGGGGCATGGGCACCCAGGAAGGGGGCCGCGCGTGTTGGGAGGCCTGTCCTCTCGCCGCGACCCTCCAGGGCAGCCGGGGCACCCACCTGCGGAGCGGGAAGCCCAGGAACGCTCGAAGAGGCCGTGGGAGCCGGGCCCGCCCTCCGCGGGAGGGACCTCGGCGCGGGAACGCCGAGGAGGGGCCGCGCTTACACGTTGGTGCAGCGCCGGCTTCACCTGGCCGCGGTTTTGATTTCAGGGTGTGGCCTCAGGTAGGACGCGGCGGCGAACCCAGAGCGCGGGAGAAGTTACCGAGGGTCGCTGGGGCCTTGGCCAGGAGCCCCTCTGCCCGAGGGGCGCCCCGCTGCCTAACTCTCTCTCCACCTGCTTGACCCCAGCTCCTGCCTGCCCTTCGCCTCCGGGCCCTGGGGGGCCACTGCCGCGGGGACCTGCCTGCGGCTCCACGGCCCGGTGGCCGCCTCGCGGAGACCCGACCCGGAGAACCAGCTGGGTGCTGGCTGTGTGTAATCACCTGGCTCACTGGCATCGCAGATGCACGCTCCAGAGCCGCGGGCCGACTCTCCTTTGTCGCGGGGCCGCGTGTGCCCACCCACACATCCTGGAGAGCCCACGCGGAAGTCCGAAAACCTGTCACCTTGGATGATCTGTCCCATGTGGACAGGGCCCCAAGACTGTGCTGAGGTAGCCCCTTGCGCAGGCAGGAAAGTGGGATTTAAGGGATTCGAGTTCCCTTGTCAGACCTTGCGCAGTCTTGAGTCCTGAGGGCTTTCTAGCCTGAGAGTCCTAGGGCAGGAGACCCGCACTCCAGACGGCTGGGGCCTGTTCCGGAGCTCTCCGCCTGTGATTTTGTTCCAGAGTCGGCATCCCCTGCTTGTCCTCAGCAGCCCCTGCCTAAGATCAGAATGGCCATTCCAAGGGGCTCACTCCTGGCTGCCCCCGTGCCATGTTTCTTTTGGGGTAGCAGGTGTTTTCTATATTGGGGGAAGGGACAGGGATCACCTGTCTCTTCCCCAAATAAAGAAGTGAGAAGACTTTTGCTCTCCTTGTCTTGGGCCCCCAGAGAGAAGATGTGTGCTGAGTGCTGAGTGCTGAGGAGGTTCTGGCTTGGAAACGCAGTACATGTGGCCTCTAAATGTCTGCCCTCAAGTGGTGGCTGGGTGACTGCCAGTGTCACAGAGCGGGGACCAAGGACAGTTGCAGGGATTTAAAAAATCATTGTTGGGCACCTCAGATTTCAATGATTAACTGAGGTCACTATGGTCACTTATTTTTGTTCACTGATTCTTTAGACGTATCAATGCTACTCATGGCTCAATCTTTTGCATTACAGGCTGTATTGGTTACACACAGTTTACTCTAAGGTACCCACCAAATAGAGCTCAGGCAACCCGTGGGAACCTGCCAGCCCCAAACAGGTCTGTACTCTGTGTGGCTGCACCACAAGCCCAATGCCCTCTGCTTTCCTTGGAAAAGCATGGTGCCAGGTGCAGATGCTGGCCCTGTATGCCGTGGGACAGTGGTGTGGGAGCAGACAGTGGTGTGGGAGCCAGCCAGCTAACCATAGGTCCTCGCTGCCATCCCCAACATCCCCAACACTATATTTATATTTAGTTTCTGTTCTCCTCCCCTTACTCCGTCGTCTTCTCCTCCTCCTCTTTGTGTCTTTCCCACGCGGATTCTTTCTCTTTCCTCTGACTGGACAATACTGTAGGCCTGACCCGCTTAGACAAACTCTGGCCTCCTGTGGTCACCCAGGAAGCTGACTGCTAGGCCTCGGATGAGGGGGCAGTGGGAGGGGGACCAGATGATACAAGAATGGCTCCCCCCACAGATGAGTTACCAAGGACATGGGTGCACTGGCCGAATGCTGGCTGCAGAAGCAGAATGTGCTGCGTGGAGGTGGGAGAGATTGGTTGCTGAGGATTTGAAAGGAACCATGAACCAAAGCTAGAATGAAATGCATTATATTGTCTAACCCAGAATTGACACCCTAAATTATTTTTACTGATTCATGAATGCACATGCAAATTATTTTCTTTTTTTTTTTTTTTTTTTTGAGACGGAGTCTCGCTCTGTCACCCAGGCTGGAGTGCAGTGGCCGATCTCAGCTCACTGCAAGCTCCGCCTCCCGGGTTTACACCATTCTCCTGCCTTAGCTTCCTGAGTAGCTGGGACTACAGGCGCCCGCCACCTCGCCCGGCTAGATTTTTGCGTTTTTTTAGTAGAGACGGGGTTTCACTGTGTTAGCCAGGATGGTCTCAATCTCCTGACCTCCTGACCTCCTGACCTCGTGATCCGCCGGTCTCGGCCTCCCAAAGTGCTGGGATTACAGGCTTGAGCCACTGCACCCGGCCGAATTATTTTCTTTTACTGCAAATGCCTTATATACCCAAATCACAGCTCCAAGCAGTACTTTTGAACAGAACTACAATGAAGTATGAATGTTAGAATATTACCAGAAATGAGCTGGTATTTAATTTGGTTTGAATCCAGGCTTAGGTGCCCTAGAATGGCTACTAGCCAAGTCCCATCCTCACCCTATAGAGAGTAACTCTAGGAAACCCTGGGTTCCTCCTACCCCTTGGGAGCTACAGTGGGTTTGGGGCCTTGAGAGAGGCAGAGGGTCAAGTTAGACTGACCAAGGAGGTAATGAGTCCCCCATCACTGGAGGTATTCAAGAATAACTGTCAGTCAGGTAGGCCAGAGAACTGGATACAAGACTACACTAGGGAATCCCTCAGGTCCATCACAACACCAGTTTTTTGCACTTCCAGTCTCATCTACGTGAAGTTCAGCTGCACTGGGTTGCACGCCCCCCCGCCGATTGCCACCCGCCTCCCCACACATTGAGACAGCTGGGGATCCACACTGAATTGTCCGTTCAGGGTAGGTCCTGAGTGATTAATTCCTGTGTGTGACTCTTCCCCTTCTCTATTCTTCTCTGATCCATGCCCAGCTCAGCCCTGCCCAGGAGGAAAGGGCAGAACAACAGCACAGGAAGCATCAGGAGCAGTCTGGGGACAGTGTCTCCTGCAGCGTCCACGTGCCACCCTCTGCCTTGTTCCCAGGTTGCCATGCTGAGCACAGGGGGCTCCAGGCACATCCTCCTTTGAGGAGCCTTGGCTGCTGGCACAGACCTTCTGGTTGAAGGAATTGTCCAGGCACTCCCATTCTACAAATTGGGTAGGAGCTCTGGAAGAGACACCCAAAACAGGCATTTCACCACGGGACATGGCTCTTGGAGTGGTGCCATCTCAGAGGTATTGGCAGGCCAGTATGGTCTGGGAGGGCAGCAAGGCGGGCACGTCGGGTGGGGCAGGTACTTCCTGGTTCTCCCTCAGCCTGTGGCTGTCGGGGCCTGTTGTAACATCTGAGCGCCAACAGCCAGGGCTGAGCACTCGGGCTAGGGCCAAAGAGGAAAGATAGGGATCAGCTTGTGGTTTAGAAAGACAAACACATTATCCCTTCCCTGCATCTTTCTGCTCCATGACTTGAAAAGCTTCCTGGGGATGAGGAAGGCGACTAACAAGCTCTTTTACTCCTTCCAGCCTCCTTCCTCTGGGCGACTCCGCCCTCCCCTAATGATAGAAATAATAATGGCTGCCAATGATGGCATGCTTCCCATGGACCAGGCCCGGTACAAAGCTATGTACCTGTGCTACCTCCCTTAGTCTTCACAGCAACCCTGGGATGGAAGTCCTGTACAATTATTATTCACATTTGACGAATGAGGAAACTGAGGCTCGGAGTGGTTAAAGAACAGCTGAAGATCTCCTAATTACTGCTATAGACTGAATGTTTGTGTCCCCCCAAGATTCATCTGTTGAAACCTATGTCCCCCCAAAGATTCATTTGTTGAAACCTAATCACCAATACGAGGGTATTAGGAGGTGGGGGCAGGTGATTAAGTCACAAAAGCAGAGCCCTCATGAACGGGATTCATGCCTTTATGAAAGAGGCCCCCAGAGAGATCCCTGGCCCTTTCCATCATGTGAGATTATAGCAAAAAGACAGCCACCTCTGAACCTGGAAGCAGGCCCTCACCAGACACCGGATCTGCCAGCACCTTGCTCTTGGGCTTCTCAGCTTCCAGAACTGTGAGAAATAAATTTCTGTTGTTTATAAACCACCAGCCCACAGTATTTTGTTATCCAGCCCAGAAAGACTAAGTAAGCCAGTTACTGAGTGGAGGAACTGCAATTTGAGTGGAAGTGTATCTGACCCCAAAGCTGGTTCTCTCAATTCTGCTGCTTAGAGGCTGCTGGCGCCGTGGAATGTGTGAACAGGCAGTGGGGAGAGACCAACTCAGACCTGAATACAAGGCATTTGTATTTAAAAAAAATCACTGCCCAGGAAGGCTGTCACATGAGACACAAGAGGGCTGGGGGTGGGGGTAGGGGGACTCTCCCTCCCTATTTCTGAGTAACATATGAGGACCCCCACATGGCACTGGGTGTGAGGGGCAGAGGGGTCCTCAGGTTCCCCCACTCTGTCACTGAGTTCCCTGCTAGGAATCAGGTGCTAGGCTTTCCTGGCCACAAGCCAGCACCCTGCCTGAAGTTCCTGCATCCCACGTCTGCCCTTCACAGACCCAGCGCCCCAGCCGCCTCAGGCCCTCAGGCAGGACCTGCCAGGGAGGTGGGGGCACGTGTGCTGGATGCTTGGCAGGAGGAGCCCTGAGGAGCCGGGGCTCCCAGAGGGGTCCCCGCCCACTCACCCTGGAGCCCGAGGCCTGGGAGAGAGGCACTCTTGGGGGAAAATCCCTTCCTCCCACTCTCCTCCAGGCTGCCCAGCACCTGCTTCTTCCTGCTCCTCACCCCGATGGGACCACCCATCTCTCTCTGCTGATGGGACCAAGAGGGAGGTGCAAACCTCCGAACCTCCGCGCATCTGGAAGTGTGAGCCTAGGAAGCTGACACTGCCAGGCCCTCGGGGCCCCCAGGCAGGAGGGAAGTTGATGGAGTCTGGCTGCAGAGCCGTGGAGTCCTGCGGGTGGGAGCCCTCTTGCCTCTCGAGACTCATGGCATGTCTCTGGCCTCAGTCTCCTGATGCGTGTAATGGAAAGAGTACCTCCCTCCCTTGGGAGAGTGGTGGAATAATGAGGTCTAGAGCATTGGGATACAGGAGTATGGAGGAGCAGCACCCCCAAATGGGTTGAGAGGTTCTTAACCCTCAGCCCTCACAGTTGCGGAAGGGACCAAGGAGAAAGCTCCCCTCCCCGCCCCCGGCGTGCACACTGGAGCTTGGTTTGATGTGCCACGGAGTAGAATCCCAGGATTCGTCCAGAAAACAAGGCTACCACTTGCTACTAAATCAACCCAACAGGTCTGTTCACCCCAGATTCCGGAAAGAGAGCCCAGCGCCAGGGAGTAGCACTGTCTGGGGCCTGGTTAGGTGTTTTGGAAAAGCCCATGGGTCCCTGCCTGGCTGCTGGACAGACGTGTCCTGCTGATACCCTGGGCCTCAGCAGAACCTCAAGCCTCTCTCTCTCTGCCTGCCTTTCCCTCGGGTTCTGCAAGTGTACTAGGCTTCCTGTGCCAACGGGAATATATAAAACCGTCCTCCCCAAACTCAAGCTGACACTGGGGGCTAAACTTGCTTGACAGTCCCAAAGGGGCCTGGTGACCCGGGAGGAGCCCCTCA